GACGAGTGGGAGTGTGTGAATGTAATAAGAAGAGTACACGAGAAAAACGCGCGAGGGAGGCCCGCTTCATATCCCTGTTTGCAGGGCGCAAACAGGTCCAGGTCACTCCCTTCCCCGTCCGAATTTCACCCCCCCTGGATTTAGGAGAAGGGGACGGGGGGAGGCTTGCCCCTCACGGCGCCCTCGGTGTCGGGACGAGTACGCGACGGCGAGTTGAAGCGGACTGCAGGCAGGCCGGCGGCCGCAACAGCGGGCTTCATCTCGCTTGACTGGGGCCGGGACGGCGGCCGGGACACCCAGAGTGCTGCAGCGACACTGTGCGGAGGAACCCGAAGGAAGCGCCCTAGGTGCGCGACATGCGAGGCCACGTGCCTGCGGTGCGAACGCCGAGCCGGGCCGAGCCGAGCCGAGCCGAGCCGAGCCGAGCCGAGCCGGGTCGGTATGCCGGTGCTTTACGCCACACTTGCACAATGAGGGTCCTCGCGGTGTCGTGTCGTCCTTGTCGCACCCACGCGCAGCCCCTGCCGGCCGGCGCGCGACGGGACGGCGGAGTCGCGGCGGGGCGTGAGCGCGTTTCCAACGTGTCCTCCGCGTCCAGCGCGGCTCGCCACGGCCCGGCCCCGGCCCTGCCGCCGAGGCAAATGAACCACATTGCAGTTGGCACCCCGGACGGCGGCACGCTGTGAATTATTTATAATATTTCCGCGCGCGCAGAGCGCGGCAGGAGCGCACCTCGGCGTGCTCGTGCACCTCGCCGTCGTGCCGCCGGCCGGGCGGCGCCGCGTCGGCAGCGTCGAGCGGGAAAATATGGAAAAATGATCCAGTTAATTTTGGCCCCACGTGTGTCCCGCGCGTCGGCTAGCGTCGGCTTAGCCGTGGAGGGGGAGGTAGTGGTGCGTGGCGGGGGAGGGGGGGGGAAGAGGCAGGCCCTGTTCCGGACGATTGGATCTGCGCAGGCAGCGGGCCGCGTCCGCAGAGTCGTGCTGTCTCTCTCGCACTCACGGGGCGTCCCGAGGGGGTGCGAGAGAGACAGAGCGCGGCGGCTCGTCCGAGGGCCGCGCTGGCTTGGCGCTGCCGGCCGCCCGCCGGGCAGGGCAGGGCCGGGCAGGGCAGGGCATGCACACGGAAGATGTGCTGCCGCTTCGTCCCGGCGGCGGCCGATCATCACCGCTCCTGAAAATCGCGTGTCGCTTCCCGTTTCTAGTGTGTCTTTATCTGTTTTCCTTTCCGGTCTTCCCTCGTCTTTTTCTCGGCTTGCCTAATGAGGCGTGGTGCCTATCAGGACCTGCATCTCCCAGGCCTAGGCCCGCCGGGTAGGCACCACCGCGAGACGCTTTCTATGAAGCAGCGCGGCTCACTTTTCGAAGTGGGGGTGGCGCTGATGGTCTCTCTCGCACCATCAGGGCTCGCTCCACGAGAGAGAAAGAGATAGAGCCGGCTCGGCCGGTTATCTTCTGGCTGAGCCTTTCTCCGCGCGGGAAATGTTTTCCCCTATCTGTTCATTTCGCCCCGCGCCGGCGTGGTGTAGTGTGGCCGGCCCGCGGAACTCCGAGAAGCAACTTCCACTCCGGGCCCCGCCAGGCGGGCACGGCCCCTAGCAAGGACGGTCGCGTCTCGTTTTGCAGTGCAGGCGAGCCTGTGTCGGGCCCGAAACGGCATACGATCGTGGTCCAGCCCTTAATGGTAATGGTAATGCGAGGGTAGGCAACCCGAAGGGCCCAGTGTAGCCGCGTTGCCTACCCACGCGGGCGTGGACGAACGACGCATGTGTGGAGGCAGAGCGAAAGCAAAACGACGCGAGAAAACCCGGATAAACGAATGAATTGGTGGTCGTGAGACGCAACTTAATCCTTGGTTGGTGGAGCGGGGAGGGGCGGCAGCCGTCGGAACTATGAGTCTTCTCGTATTGGCGAGGCCGCTCCGCGCGTGGCATGGAGCCTTATTCTTGGCCAAAGTTTGCTTGTCTCGTCCTCGCCGGGCCCGTCTGGGCCTGGCTGGGCGAACTGAGCGATTCCGGATGCCGTCGCTCTGTCCCTCTCGCACCCCTCCGGGCCGCCCTGGAGTGCGACGGAGACAGAGCGACACTCTTCCGGATGGGTCTGCAGCCCGTCCGGTACGTGCAGCCTAAGCGCTGAGATTGCTTTCGCTTTCGGCGGGGAGCCGACGGATGCCTGAAAATCGTGTTTTGGACCGACTTTGGGCTGGGTTCAGGCAGCCACTGCGTCCAACCCGAGGCGAGAAATCGTACTCCCTCAACGGGTGGGTGGTCTTTGAACCTCCCCTTAGATGGCGCTTTTCACGCAGAGCGTTTTTCCGACTTAGTTTGGGAGCAGCGTTGCCGCAAAGTTGGTCAAAACGCTAACAAGTGTGACAAAGTCGTCTTTCGGGCTGAGTTCAGGCAGCCGCTGGGTTCCGTTCCGACCCGAGATATGTACCCGTGTGCGTGGGCGCCTCCACCGGTCTTCTGGCCCACTGTGCGGCTCGGCGTCACGAGGCGTTTAGTCCAATCCCAACTTTTCCAATCCCACATTCTCGAGGTGTTCCCGGCACCTTCCCGCCGTCAGACTACACCGCCAAACGATGCTCACGACACTGTCGGGGGTCGTGGCCCGGGTGGCGCTGCCGGCTCCACCCCCACTCCTTCCGCCCCCCCCCCTCCGGCTCTGTGTGCCGTCTGCAATTTACGACATTTTCCGTAATTTCTGTGCCATTCCGGCCCGCTGGCTTTTTAATTTGGTTTGTGTTGCCCGGACGGCGTGGTGCGTGCGGGACGCCGCGCTTCCCAGACTTAAAAAAAAACAACAAAAAAGCACGAAATTTTTTAAATTGTTTCTTTGTTGTTACGCGGAGGGCTATCAAGGGAAGTGCGATTTTATTGGTGACTGCGTGCCGCTTGGGGCACTGCACTGCCTTGCACTGCAGTTTGTTTAGCCCTCGGCCAGCACAAACACGAGGGTCGATTCACGATGCCGCCGTCGTAGATTCCCTCTTTATTGAGTCCCTCTCCCTCCCGTGGGGCCGGCCGGACGCCGCAGAGTGGTGCTTGTTCCAGTCGGACAACTTGCGACACGTTTCGAGCCCGAGCATGTCCTGGGAAAGGGGCTCGAGTCGAACGGATTTCCCTCGAACCTCGAAACACTTCCCACCGCCTTGTGTCGGAAAACTAGCCCACTGTGCGTCGGGGGTGTCCGCAACGACGCAAGCTTAAACGGCCACGCGAAGAGAGTGGCTTTTTCGTGGAAGAGGACGCTTTGTCGCGGCTCGGCCCTCACTGTCAGCAGCCTGATCCTTTCAGCGTCGTGTCATTCATTTGGCACTCACTGCCTGGGACAAGCAGACAGGCAGATAGACAGACAAGCAGACAGGCAGACAGACAGGCGGACGGGAAGACAGGCGCCGGTGAAGGGTGAACAAATACATTCAGAAAATGTGCTGAAATTAAGCACAAGACACAGGTCTGGTGTGACGAGTAAGTGTGATCTCATGTTGTGTAATCTATCTCTGAAGGCTGTAAGGGATGAAATCCTGTAAAAAGCATGAAATCTTCTACATTTTAAAGGGCCTAAACAGACACTTTTGTCCCAGCTCAACCCTCTGGTTAGCGGTTCAAAAGAACAGAAGCTCTTCTCTAAAATGTCCGTGCAAGTTTCCAGCCTATGTTTTGCCTTTCTGCATGCTGCGGGGTTGGTTTCGTGTGCAGGCAGAGATACGGGGGGCTGGACAGACGAACGATGCAAGTCTGCTGCAGTCTGTGTCGCGGCCTGGAGGCCTGCAGACTGCAGGGCCTGCAGGCCTGGAGGGAGGGCGTTGCCAGTTCCTGTGGGAGGCTGGGAGGGGGTGATGGGTTAGCGCCTCTAGCAGAAGGCTGATTCCCAGGGGGATACGCGGGGGAGGGGGGGATGCTAGGAATGACAGAGGCTCGGACGAGAGCGCTCCCATTGTGTTCGCATTGTCCCATCTGTCTTCAAATTTGACTAGCAGGCTACTTGTCTGTGTGTTCATGTTTGCCGCTGCGCTCGGGCTGTCTTCCCTCAAAGAAAAGAAAGCAAAACAACAGCAAAAGACAAAAAGGAACACAAACTTTTGACTTTTTCCCATGCACTAAATTGGGTCTAGAGGAAGGAGAGATTGTGTGGAGAAGGGTGTTGAATCAGGTTGCAGCAATCAGTGCGTGACTTTCATAATCTGGCGTGATAGGCGGTTCACTTATCTGCCGATGGGATAACGCACAGCGCAGTGAGAGCTCATTGACCTGGCGATACCCGCTCGCCGTGGGGCCGTGCCGTGCCCTCTCCCTTCCCATTCATTTTCTCCCATTTTCCACGTCGCTTTTCCCACGATTTTCTTCGCGCCCGGCAAAGAAAAGCGACTGTCAGTCAGTCTCGAATCTTGACGACAAAATAATCTCGTTCCTCCGAGTGAAACGCAAACGTTCCAACGCATTTCAATTTCGCCTTTTTCCAAAACGAAAAAGTAGTTTCTTTTCGTTTTGCAAATTTTTTGTGTGTACCCGGCACGGCAAGTAAGTAAAGCTCGTCGCTCCCAGAGGTAGTGGTGCTGGGTACGAGTGACGAGAGAGAGAGAGCGGCTCACCGTGTCATTGTAGCAGCTGTGCACTCGCTAGGTGTGTACACACAAATCAGCCACCATGGCGGCGTGGCGCGCCACCGCCGGTCGTACAGTAACTAAACAGCATTACTGTACGGCTGCATCGCGTGATTGGTCGCAGGTGCGATGAAAGCGCGATGCGCGTGGAACGAGCCCTGGATGGAAAGCACTCATGAATCGCTGAGGGACGGATCGATTTTGATTAAGACTATGTTGATGTAGAGTTTGCAGTTTGCATTGATTGTCATTATTTTGAATAAACAATTTTCAGCTCCGGATCATCAAGTTCCGACCGACAATCAGCTTGGGTATCCTTCGGCGTTCCTGGGGCCAATACTTGAACCCTACTTTCACGTAAAATGTTCAAAACGTTTCTTTTCCGCTTGTTACAGGAAAATGTTCATCGGTGGCCTCAGCTGGCAAACTAGTCCAGGTAAGCTCGCCTCGACGATGGCAGAACACAACGACTCCCCCCCACCCTCTCTTTGGCAATCTGTACTGTGAGGGGGAGGGGGGGGCACGTCCGCAGTCAGACGAGTCAGTTTCGCCTCCCTGGTTCGCTGGCCGTGCCTCCCTGGGGTGCGAGCTGGGGGAGGGGGCGGCTGCCCGGGCTGATCGTGACCTAGGTCACGCCCCCCCCCCAAAGACGCCCCGCTCGAAGACACCGACTTGACGACACTCCGTGGCCGGCCGCGCTGGATTGAATCTCATTGTTTATTTGTGAAGTCGCGGTGGCTCAGGCGGTTACGAACTCGCTTCGAAAGCGCCCTCACTCGGGTTCGACTCCCGGCGAGTGCCACTGTCCGACTCTTGGTCCAACTCGCGTCACGGCAGATTTCGAGGCGTTAGCGACACTGCCCTAAGCAGGGCTAGCAGAGCGGGCAGAGCTAGCTGGGCTGGCGGTGAGCAGTCGTTAGCGACCTACTGGCAACGTAGTCGCCCCGCCCGCCCCGCCCCGCCCCGCCCCGCCCCGCCCCGCCCCGCCGGCCACAGTACGGCTTCTCCCAGCTTGACACTGCCCCCTGCCGGGCCCTGCCGGGCCCTGCCCCCTGTTCGACACAGCCCCAAAGCCACGCGCTGCTGTCCAGGACTGGAAAAACTCGGTGCCGATACGGCGATACCGCGGGGCTTTGTAACTTTGGAAAGCAATCACCCCGACGAAAAAAAAGAGGGGGGATGTTTGAAGCAAAATGGCTGTAGGACGTCACTGTTTTGGGCGCGGCGTGCTTTCGGTTTCGTGTTTTGAATGGCGGGAGTTGGTGTGTGACTCGGTGGCCGACTTCTGGGCGACTTTGCCGCGCCCCTTCCAAGAGGTAATTAAGTTACAGTTGCCTGATGGAGTGACCCCGACGCCCTCTCCCCGTCCCCCCAGCCTCCGGTACACACTGCCAAAAGGAAATAAATATTTTCTTAATCTGCGTGCCACGCCTGCCACTCACTCATCCCGGAAGGCAAACTTTGCGGCGCTGAATGTGAAAAGCAAACAGAGAACGACTTGACGCAGAGCGGGGCGCGGTGGGGCGAGGCGGGGCGGGGTGGGGTGGGGGGGGGTGGGGTGGGGCGGGTCGCTGCCTCTTTTAGTCAACCCGTGAAGGGCTTCCACCCTGACGCAGCGGTCACTGGCGGGGCGTGGTGGGGCGTGGCGGGGCGTGGCGGGGCTGAAGAGGTTTCAAGGAGGCTAACTGCAAGGTGCAGCAACATTTCAAGTGCCGCGTGTCAAGAGCCTCGAACGGGGTTTTCGATGATCACTGCTGGCGATGGGGAGGGGGAGGGGGTAGCCAACGCCCCGGGTGACGTTCAAGAGACAGCCGCAGGTTCTGACCTCCGGAAAGCGGCTGAGCTGGAGGCCTTCGAGTCGTCGAGAGCGGGGGCTGGAAGGGGTGTCTGGAGGTGAGAACTGCGATGACACTGCAAGGGCTGGGTGCCGCAGCGGGGCGAGGGACTGTGGACGAGAGTCGTTCTCGTCGGTCTGCCTCTTTCGTACCCATACGAGACGACTCATGAGTGCGAGAGAGACAGAGCAATGAGTCTGCAGCGGCCAACGGACTGCGGGAGAGCGGCACACTTATGCCTCTCTTATTGGCATTTTCGAGCCCCTGCACCGCCCAGCAGTGCCCCAGCACCCTCTCGTGCAGCTGAGTCATCATGCAGGACCCGGGGGGTCAAGTGGAGGAGCAGGATCGCGCCTTCCTCCGGCTTCAGAGGGGTCAGGTGGCGTCAGGACCGAAAAATCCCGTCCGCCGCGCGGGGAATCGAACCGTCGAACCCCGGCTCCGTAGGGTGATAAGTAGAGTAATGCCGCTAGATGACAACGCCAGGCACTGGTGAAAGTAATGGATATTGCGATCTGCTGGTCTATTATGTGGCCATGTGATCAGGCCAAACTCCCCTCCCTGCCTCCCCCTTCTCTCCCTCTGCCTCCCTCCCTCTCTCTTTCAAGTTCGTTCCGATTGCATGGGCCGTGATTGCAGGGCGTAGAGTTCCCTCCCATTTCCTCCTTCTTCTTTTCGTGAGCTCGCCACCGCGCCACACAGTCGAACGCTGATGACGTCATTGATGCCTTTCTAATGACAGGCGTCTTAACCTCTGTTGTCCGAGCTCAAAAGGAAAAGAAAAAGAATCAAAACAGCGAAAAAGAAACTCGAGAGGGACGACGCTAGACGACGGGCTTCGCTGGTTGCGCGAGCTCACTTGACCCACATTGCCCTCTCTCTCTCTCTCTCTCTCTCTCTCTCTCTCTCTCTCTCTCTCTCTCTCTCTCTCTCTCTGGCTCCCGCAGCACTATTCAACCCAATCCAGCTCCACTTTCCCCGCTCACGGTGTCCCTTTTTGACTCCCCACTGTAGGGTTGCCAACTTTGCGATTCGAGTTGTCGCGCGCGAATTACCTCGGCGCCACTTGGAACGCGTGGACACCCTAGCTCGGCCAAAGGCTTGTTTTGCCGCGCCCCACCCCCCACTCCCACCCACCCGTCCGTTGCACCTCAGGACATAACTCTGCCAGCGCCGAGCGCCTCCCCCACCCACCGGAACCCCACCCCCTCCCACTCAGTCACCCCCGGTGTCACCCCCCCCTGAATCTCCATTCTCTAGCGCTGGCCCTTCTCACCGGTCGCATTCAGACCCCCCTCCCCCCCCTCCCGCCCCTCTCTCGGCCCACGTGCGAGTAACCCATCACAACACTTCATCGCGAGCGCCAAGCAGGAACTACTGCTGCCGGGGACGCAAATTACCAATCCAACCCTCCCGTTTTTTTGTTTCGCTGCCAATCCCAGGCTGGCCCCGTTTTACCCCTCACGCGCACTGCGGGGGATATCGGCTGGCGTCACACAGTGGGCCAGAAGACTGGCGGAGGCGGCCAAAATTCTAGGCGCGTTTTGAGCTCCAGAGTCGCTTAATGGGACTCGAACCGCGCGTGTGATCCCACCAATGGATTGCGCTCCGAACGAGGAATCCATTGGTAGGGTCACACGTTCGGTTCGAGGCCTGTTTAGCGACAGTTTTGGCCGCCTCCACCGGTCTTCTGGCCCACTGTGCGTCAGGGCGCCGCTACGCTACGCTACGCCGCCGAGTGGAGGGAGGCCCCCGAAACGAGCGGGAACGGTCATCGTCGCCTCGTTAGGCCGCGTTAGCCTGGCGTTAGCCTCTTCGACACGCGGCGCCATCTCGTCGGCAACATCTGCCGCCGTTCAGTCCCCACTGAATAAAAAACAACACCCCGAACGCCGAAGGGCGCCGAAGCGCGCCGAAGGCAGCCACTTCGGGAGGCGCGTCGCTTCGGAAATCAAACACGCCGCGCGTTAATTTTTACAGCGCCGTTCGGGGGAAAGATTTTTGGCCGTTTAAGGTCTGCGTCGTCTAGCCGCGTGCCTTATCTGCCGACGCCCCCCCCCCCTCCCTCTCTCTCGCTGCCCCGCCTCCCCTGCGGCGCAGGGAAGGGCAGAGCCAGAATCCCGGCAAGCGGTTCCGAACAAGGGCTCTGTCTCTCTCGCACTCGTGGGGCGTGCCGTGTGGGTGCGAGAGAGACAGAGCGACGGATGTGCGGAATCAGTCTGCAGCCCTTCCCTTCGCAGACAGGCGGCCTCTTATAGATTTCCCCTTCGGATGCGCTTCAGGAGTGAGAGAGAGAGAGAGAGAGAGAGAGAGAGAGAGAGAGAGAGAGAGAGAGAGAGAGAGAGAGAGAGAGAGAGAGAGAGCGGAGCAATGAGTCGAGAGGGAAAAGGACAGCGACAACTCGCTTTGCGCACCACTTTCCTGTTTTTATCGCGTGCGGAATCCTTCACCTTTTTGCGGTGCCGGGTCGCCAAAAAAAAAATTAAAAAAATATTAGGGGAAGTTTTAAAGTTTGTTTGAGAGGGTGTTGGCGGGAAGGGCGGATGGGAGGGGCGGGGAGCGGTCCTTGAGGCGGTATACCTTATCCCTTCGTCCCTTATCGCTGCCACCCCCCTTATTACATGAATGCATTCGCACACACACACACACGACCCTCACACACACATCCCATCTCTCTCCCGGGCGGCCAAAAGGCCGCTGGCCGCTGACTGCCGGCCTGACCGCCGGCCTGACTGCCGCGCTGGACCCCTTTCCATTTAAATTCGTTGTCACCTCGCGGGGCTTCCCGCTCCCATTGTGCACCAATCGCGTGGCTCGCAGGGCGGCAGGGTGGGTCGCGGGCCGGCCCTCAGTGGGCCAGAAGACCGGTGGAGGCGGCCAAAACTCTAGACGCGTTTTGAGCTCCAGAGTCGCTGAGCAGGCCTCGAACCGAACGTGTGACCCCACCAATGGATTCCTCGTTCGGAGAGCAATCCATTGGTGGGGTCACACGTTTGGTTCAAGACCCATTTAGCGACTCTGGAGCTCAAAACGCGTCTAGAGTTTTGGCCGCCTCCACCGGTCTTCTGGCCCACTGTGCGGCCCTTCCGCATGACCTTATATTCCAACCTTCCCCCCCTCCCCTCCCACGGTCCGGCCGTCCGCCCCAGGCGTCCGCGCGTCCGCCCGTCTTTATCTCTGCAAATCCCCTCCCTCGCAGGCTTCCTCGCTCGCGCCTTGTCCACCCTGCGGTCGCCGCCACGCCCGCAGCGCGCTCTCCGTCGCACTCGGTCGCCAGCCGGGGCGGGGGCTCCACCCTCCAGAAGCGAAAATCAATATCAGGGCGCGAGAGTGAGAGAGAGAGAGTGCGCCAGCGCGGCGTGGGTGGGGGTCCAAGAGGGAAGGTCAGGGAAGGGGGAGGGGCGCGCTGGGGGTGGGGGCGCGGCGAGGGGAGGGGGAGTCAGCTGAGCGCCGTGCCGTGCCGTGCCGCGCCTCGCCGCGCCGTGCCGCGCCGTGCCCGACTGCCCTGCTGATGCTACGTCGCGGCGCGGCACGGCACGGCACGGCGCGGCACGGCACGGCGCACGGCGCGGCAGGCTGCAGCAGTCAATGGGCGCGCGGC